TTTTTTTTTTTTTTTGGTTAGTCCAGATGCTGACAAACTTTCCGCATCATCTCTGAGGGAGACTAAGCCAATTATGGTCAAATGGCCTCCAGTGGTGGTTGTTTCAGAGTAATGACCCATGACATTTTCACATAAATGGTGTTCCTTTCTGTGCTTTATCATTGATCAGTAATAAACGGTAAGAGTCAAGCTCATACTCAGTCCAGAGGGCTGTTTTCAGTTTTTTTTTTTTTTCTTCTCAAAGGAAAAAAAAAAGATGCACAGGAAGTACAGCCTTTCGAGGTTTTGGCTTTGTTCTTATCAGCTAACCAGTGATAATGAACGTGGGTGAACAAATTATGATCAAGGAACAAGAAAAGCTGCACAGTGTTGCCCACATGCTGCACTTGACTCATGATCATTGTAATGTTAAGCAGGAGAGACACAAAGCATGTCCAAGGAGCTGGCAAAACGCCTCATTTGGAGATGTTGCAACTATGGCACAAACAGGATCCAAGAAACACCTAAATCATCACAGTTGGGTGTTTAGATAGTAATACAGGTGGGGGGACAAACAAAAAAACAAAAGCTTGTGGAGGTGATAATTGTCCAACAAAAGAAGTTGCTCTCGCCGGAGCTCAACAGTCTGGACTGTGGCAAGAGTATAAGTTGGTGCCAGGTGTAGGTGTTAGTAGCCAAGACCTGGGAGTCTAATTTAAGCGGTTTTATTTGTGAGCAGAATCCAATCAGGGCAGTGGACCTTCAAATCAGTTTATTTATCTAGCCCCACTTCAATCATGTAACAAATGTTTCAAAAATACAAAGACGAGACAGAAGAAAGGAAAAAGTTTGACCATCTTTAAAAAATGTACCCAAGGGTAAAACCAGTGAGAGACTGGGACTAGGTGGAGGGCCACACTGATGAGCTTTCTTTAGAAGCTGCTTGGTATCGCCCTTCACAACAGTCCCAGTTGTGGCCCCTTGGGTAGATTAGTTGGCCACCCCTGCCCTTTAGGATGTTTCAGTAATTGTAGCTGGTGTGTTGTCTTGGGCTAAAAGATTAGATGCTCCATATGCTTCATTTTTCCAAGTTGTTTTTTTTGTCATTGGACACAATCCTGCTTCATTGCTGCCACCCAGGCCTCACATTTTTAACCATTGTCACATCTTAAGAGACGAGGTAGCCATTCTGGCCTAAACTCTGACCATTATTCTTAAAGCTTCCTTATGTGGAAATTCTCCTGCTTTTTACTTTAGTAGCTATAATTCAGAATTACTGTGTCACGAATGTCATGAACATTCACACTGTATTATGAACAAAATTGGCCATTACTAAAGAACACATGTATATACATGATGGCAAAGAGGGCCATTGTCTGTATTGAACACGTGGTCTGACTGTTAGAATCAGTCCGTTGGTTTTTATTAGGAGAAAGCTAAGCTGCCTTTTTCTAAAAGAAAAAGATAACTGTTGCAATGTTTTCTTCTAAAATAGCTTTAACAAGAAGGAAGTGGGGCCAAACTGTTAACTTTATTAATTTTTTTCCCTCTTTCAGATTCCACCTTTTTCCCCGGTCGCTGTGCTGATATCTTCGTCCGTGGAAAGAACGTCGGGCGTCTCGGAGTGCTTCACCCAGATGTCATCAATCGCTTCGAGCTGACAATGCCCTGCTCCGCCCTGGAGATGGACATCGAACCCTTCCTGTGATTTTACCTTCCTAAACCTAAAACCATATATAGCTGTTTGTTTGGTGTATGTTACGGAGGTGTGCTGCCGATGATTGTTTTAGTTGGTTAATCAGGAGACAATACTGTGCGGAACTGTGTGGAAACATTGTTTTATATAAGAGTAACAGGACTGTTTTTACTGAAGTCAGAATAATTAAAAATTAACAACACTCCACTGTGTTTGTAGCATGTGTTTGTGCGTCTGTGTGTGGGCTTGCGCATGCATGCCTGATCTTAATTTAGCCTATTTGTGCCTTGGGGTTAGTGCATGGTAATTAAACTGAGTGACTCATTACCTGTTGCTCTGTTGCCTTGGTTCTTCCAGTGGCCACACCGCTGAAACTCCCCTCACACGCGACGTTCCCATGAAAGAAGTCGTCAAGCACAGGTTCCCCACACGAGATGAATCCCAGCAGAGCGCCCACTCCCGCCTGACTTCCACAAAAACTGTGTTTGGTGACGTGAGCACACAAGTGGGCCTCGAAGCTCTCAGTGATTTTCTGGCTGACAAAAGCTACATCGAGGGCTTTGTGGCATCCCAAGCTGACATGATCGTGTTTGACGCCATCCCCTCTCCTCCCTCACCGACGCTCTGCCACCTCTGGCGCTGGTACAACCACATAAACTCTTTCCAGACAGACAGAGCTCGTCTTCCATCAGCCAAGAGTCGGTATGTCCTCCCAGCTACTCCCCCGGCCACGCCAAATGATGCCAGCGACGAGGAAGACATCGACCTTTTTGGGTCGGACGATGAGGCAGAGAGCGCAGAAGTGGCCAGAATCAAGGAGAAGCGTCTTGCCGAGTACGCCGCCAAGAAATCCAAGAAGCCAGCTCTCATTGCCAAGTCCTCCATCCTGCTTGACGTCAAGCCCTGGGACGACGAGACGGACATGTCCAAGCTGGAGGAGTGCGTCCGCAGCGTCAGTATGGACGGGCTGCTGTGGGGGCAGTCCAAACTGGTGCCAGTGGGTTACGGCATCAAGAAGCTCCAGATAGGATGTGTGGTGGAGGACGATAAAGTGGGCACTGATATGTTGGAGGAAGCCATCACCGCCTTCGAGGAATATGTTCAGTCTGTGGATGTGGCTGCTTTCAATAAGATCTGAATCACTGAGACAGAACAGTGCCATCTGAGATTTTGTGGACTTGGTGTAAGCTGGGCGATAAATGCAATGTTCAGTTAATATTCCAGCATCACTGTATTAAAGAGGCTAATGCTCAGGTGCTTCATTTCTTTATCCTTTGATACAAGTCCAAAAGGGTTTTGCCTTCAGACACAATTAAAGCCATTCAAACTTGTGACTTGAGTGCTCTGAATCTTTGTTTTTTCCACATGTCATCTGCACCTGTTTATACATTACTAACAAATGAAAGAAATTTGTGAAGCCAGTGGACTCCTGTAAGAAAACAAGTCATGCAGACATCAATCTGCACTGTACATAAAGTCTGACAGGTGCTCTCACATTCTTTTAAACTCTACTGTAGCAAAGGGAGCTTAACTGCTTCATTCCTGCACTAGACAAAGTAACCAGGCCAGCATGGTGTAACAGATTGCATGCTCTAACCTGCTGAGAGAACAAAGGTGGGTTCGGCTGAAATTAACGTGTCAGGATTCAGTTATACTGGATTTGGTATGAGCAAATCAGGTTTAAGGTGTGGTTCTCCCAATTGCAAAAGTAACAAGAAACTTGGACCTGTGTGCTCTGAAATGGAAACGACGTGTTCAGCATGTGAAACAAAGCTTTTAAACACGAAATTTTATTTAAGCAAAATGTTTTATTTTCTTTCAACTCAGTTACAGGTCAGTCACAAGTACACAGTTGTGAATCATTCCCTCTGAGAACATTTTCTGAAAATCTTGCAACGTATTACAAAAAAAATGATCATTTTAAGAACATTGAGATAAATATGAGGTTCGGTTTTGTTCAGATCATATTGATCAGTCAGGTCATAACAGTCCCAAAAAAAGGAAAATTCTGTTGGCCAGTATAGAATTAACCAGCCCAACAGATGTATATGTGGCAAACTTAGAAGGCACTTCAATCTCTTTCCTCCTCCTGGCATTGTTGTCACTTTTTGGTACTTTGTACCATGAATACAACATGTGCAGGCTCACCGTTTTCACTATCTGCCGAGTTGCCAGCAGTATTACAGCCCCCACCAAGAAGCGGCCAGTGCCTAACGCTAGTGCGCTCGCTGTCAGTGTGGGCAAAGGTACAGGCAACATGCCCTCAGGCTCAAACGTCTGCCCCAGCTGCTGATTCACCCAGTACCCCGCTGAGGCCCCGGCACACGTTCCCAGAATGGTGGTCGTATCCCCCCGTGTGGTGCTGTAATGGTCCAGCTCTGGGTATATGTAGCAGAGGAAGTAGAACAGTACCAGCACTACAATGGGGGAGATGGGGTTGTTGAGCTGGAAGTGGTCCATTGTTTCCCAGTAGGGATAGGTGCCCCCTAACAGCACGGCAGAGATCAAGATCCCACAGATAACATCCTGGAGGCAGAAAAAGAAGAATCACTTATAAACCTAATTCCTAAAAAAAAAAAGGGATGCTGCAATGCATCTGCATATCTCATCTACCCGCATTTTATTCACAAAAGACCATAGGAAACATATCAAATGTTTGAACTGTGACATTTCACTATTTCAAGAAAAAAACTAGTTCATGTTGAATTTGATAGCAGCAACATGTTTCTGAAAAATTGGGAATAAAATGAAACAGCTGTAGGAACATTTTGCAACTAATTAGGTTACTTGGAAACTGCTCAGTAACGTGATGGTTATAACAAGAGCAGCTTAGAGAGACAGAGTTTCACCAATCTGCAGAAAACTGCAAATTTCAGAATACTGTTCATCAGACTTTAAATATCTCATCATTTACAGTCATAAAATCATCAAAAGATTCTGGAGAAATCTCTGTGTGCAAGGGACAAGGTGGAAAATCAATATTGGCTGCCTGTTTTCATCAGGCATGCATCATCCTCACACAGCACTGCACTAAAAACAGTCAAGATTCTGTCATAGAAATCAATGCATGCGCTCTGGAACACAACAAGTCTTCTCTGGATGAAAACATTATTTAAAATAAAGAGGAAAGAGGAAAACTGCTCTGTGGTCAGAGAAATTGAAATGTGATATTCTTTTTTGGAAAACACAGGATCATCTGGCTCGTTATCAGCACTCAGTTAAAAAGCTCTGATCGTATGGATGTGCATTACTGCCTATAGAAGTGGCAGCTTGCACGTCTGGAAAGGCACCATCAGTCTTCAAAGGTAAATGCAGGTTTTAGAGCAGCGCATCCTCCCATCCAGACAATGTTTTTTTCAGAAAGGGTCTTTCATATTTCAGCAAGACAATGATAAATCATATGCTGCATCTATTATAACAGCATGGCTTTGTTTTAGAGCGTGTGTGCATAATTGACTTGCCTGTAACATTTGGCATCAATCCATATGAAATGAGAAATGCAACCCAGGACTGATGCGCAGCTAGAATGCACTATGCGAACACAGTCCCTGCCCTAACTTGAGATGTCTTGGTGCCATTAAATTCAAAGTGAACCACTATTTTTCACATTTTCCTCAGTTTAAACATTTGAAATGCTTTTTGCGTTCTATTGTGAAGGAAATATAAGTTCATGAGGTCTGTAAATCATTGCATGTTTGTATTTACATTTTACACAGTGTTCCACCAAATTTTTTTTAAAGTTTTGCCGTTGTACAACGAATGCATCAGGAATAAAACAGAAAGGTACAGGTATTTTTTATCTTGACAACACTCAGATAAGAAGACTTATCACCTTTGTGTCTACTCTGAAAATATGACCCATTGTTAGCGCTCAGTTAGCTCTCCTGATATGTTTCAAACAGGAACACACCAAGACTTAACAATGTACCACTACAGGCCGGTTTTGGTCATTTTAGATAAAAATCTGTTTATGTTGATTTACTGTAGCCATTCACGTGCACTATAGTGATACAATATAACAATATTTACTTTGAATTTATGCAGAAAAATGACAGGGAAATCCAAACTTTAGTGAACACAGACTTTTACCAACACTAAAATCAACATGTCTGACAGCTTTAAAGGAGTCCAGGTCTCAGTCTGAGGAAAGCTCCTGTATAACAACTCGTCTGTCTGAGGTGGAGAAAAATACACACTGTAATACACCAGTTCCTCCTGATCTGACCTGGTAATTAATAATAGACTTTAATATCAAATGAAGGCACCTTTTGTCCTCTCGTGTGTGTTAATATTTGTTGAATCCTGTGATTTGTTCTGCTATGGGCTATGAGTCTCATTCATAACCTCTCATTCAAGACTTTATGTACACTTCTTACAACCTAAGCAAGTAAACCTCTGTTTGTGTCCTCTGTGATGTTTCAGAGGACAGAATTGTGGAGACAGGTCTGATTCAGAGTAAATCTGACTGTGTGCACACCGATGCTTTTTCATTCAGGAATGTCTGGAATGAGATGTGTTTGGGCAGAAAGTGTGTGCTATACCCTGCAAAGAGTTGCAAAGGAATTATTAAAGATTTATGGATTGCAGGCATAGGTTAGATCATATAAAAACTGACCAGGCGTATATATTATTTATGATTTACAAGGTGCATTTATGAGGAGGTATGGTGTTGTAACAGTGGACGATGGGTAGTTTAACCTTCTTGTACTCCACTGTAAATAAAGATCAAATTTTACTATAGTGCTGTGCACAAATCTGAATAGTGTGGCCTCTGTGTGACTGACCAGCGTGACATACGCCACTCGAAACCATGAAAGACGTCAACTACCATTCAGTCTCAGCGTGACTGGATATTAGGGTCAGATGTTTTGGGAATTTTCTCGCAAGCAAGAAAGCAGATGAGCATATTTCCCGTAATCCCACATTTTAAATGGCTATGGTCTTAATAAACGTGATAAAAAAATAACTGCATGAGTCATAAGTGCTGATGCTTCCCATTTAAACGAAGGCAGCATGAAGTGCCTGCTGAATTTTGAGTCTTGGATCAAAGCCTCAGCCAGACAACTTAACCAGACACAATGAATAATGAATCCCATGTTGAGCTTTAATGTTTTATACTGTACTATGTGTGCATGTGTGTGTGTGCGAGTTGAGAGAATAGCTCACCAAAACCGAGTGCATGCCAGTGTAGAGGCGGCTCAGAGACACCAAGGTCGCCAGTGTCACTGCGATGGTCAGGCCCACCCCGAACTGGAACTGAGGCACAAAAATACCCACGTTATCAGCAGACATCACGGCGACCGTCGAGCAAAAAGCACACACACATGATTACATGATAAAAGATTAAATCCATCAGCAGGCTCAGGCATGTCTACAATTCTTCCTTGTGCAGTCATCTTTCAAGATAAAAACCCAAGAATTGTTTTTATTTGGTGCTTTTTTTTCTTTCCACTTTGCCTTCAAATCATCCATTCATCAACGCTCCTCATTTGGGCGTTTAGCTCGTCTCTGCCAGTTATATAGCCTGCCTAGTTGATGTACTGCCTGTCGCTGCTCCTTTATTCCTCTACAGCAGGGATGTCAAACTCATTTTACATTCTGGGCCACATACAGCTCACTTTAATCTTCAGTGGGCTGGATGGGCAAAGCTTCCCTGTCTGTCAATGAAAAGAAGTTTTTGCTGCACAATTAATTCTTGAGATATTATAATACAAGAAAAAGAAATGCAATTCCAACAGCACTTCTCACTTTTTACACACGATAACGAAATCCTGGTGTAGAAAATGAAGGCCTCTCAGCACGACTGTTTGAGCTTAAAATTACTTTGGTGTAGTGTAAATGGGCATAGAGGAGGTCTTTATCAGTAGAAAAAGCTGTGGCACTTATGAGAGTACAGTTTAAAGTCCAAAATCTCCATCCTTCTTCAAAGCCGTCCAGTGGGCCGAATTGGAGTCTTTGCCAGGCCGATTCTGACCCCCAATCCTTATGTTTGACAACCCTGCTCTACTGTCTCTCCATCTTTTACCTATAGTGGCAGGGTTTGTTTCCTTCGTCCATTTCAATAACAGTGAGAAGAGAGGCCTCCCTCCACTCCTGAGCCCCCTCTTATCCTGCCCTCTGCCTTTTTTCCTGTGTCTGTTCCTGTCCTCTGCAGCTGGAAGCCTATTCACTGCTAGTTCATGAAGAGAGTTTTTTTTATGAATGGCCACAAAGGATGTCAGAGAAAGGAGGGGGGAAAGAGTCACTCTGTGATTGACTGTCGTGACCTCTGACCTGCTTGGGGAGAAGTTGCCCCAAGGCCTTGTGGCTATTCAGTGGCCTCTGCAACAGCCTGCTACTCATCTATAGTGATACATGCTCTTTTCTTTCAGGGCATTCCTTGAGGAATTTCGGGACACGTTTAAGGGCTCTACTGTACATGCACGTCCCTGGGGTGCTGATCTGATTTCTCTGACCCTGAGAACAGCCACTGCAACAAAGTGTGACACAGAGCTAGCCTAAACGATCCAACCGCAAATCAGTCTGACAGCTCCGGAGACTGTAAACTACTAAACTGAAGGGTTTAGCATTCATTCAGCTCCTCAGTCAAACACAATGCTTGACTAAGATAGTCTATGATTGAGCCCCTGATTGCTTTATTGACTCGACAGAGGAGTGGGAAAGATAAAGAGAGGAAGAGTCAGGAGGAGGAGGGAGGTGGAGACGTGGACTGACAGTCATTGACTCAGCGGAGTCCATCAGAAGACCAAACAGCAGCTCGACGGGTGTGGCTGATGGTGACTGATGGTGACTGCTGGCCCCGCCCTTCCCCACCCATTGTCCAACAGCTCAGGCACGACTCTGTGATGGACAGCTGGGCCACTCCCTTCATCCCAAACCGCCATCCTCAGGATCCCAGTGACGACACTTGGATCTGAGAGTAAACGATCATTTAGCTGGGATAACTCAACACCCAATCTTACTGCGGTCCATAAAATCCAATGGCAGTTTAATAGCACATCTAATTAGAAACCTAGTGTCTGAATTACAGTTCAACATCTACTTAGCCAACACTTCCCAGCTCTGATAGCAGATGAATTACATCATCTGTGGTAGGCAATGGTAATGAACCATGGCTATTCAGTTTCAGTAATATTATTTCAGTAGCAAATCAAGAAACAGTTTGTAGAACCACATGGAAAATGTCTGATTGGTGTTATATCCTGATCATCTTATTGTGTTAGCCCTGGGATGCCCTGTCAGGGGCGTAGCCTGTGACCCCAAGCTTGATAAACATTTAAGAAAAGAGATAAATGTTAGAGCCTGAAGTTATTTAAGTTGATATTTGTCAGGCTTTTCAGCATTGCAGAGTAAGTGCAGAATATCATAGTAAAATGCTGTTTCATTTTCCTCTTTCTCATAAGTCCACATGTACAAGGCCTTGAATAATCAGGCCACACAGACCTCATAGTCCTGTATCACTCCATTAGAACACTTCGCGCTTAGACTGCAGGTTTATTTGTGGTGCCCAGGATATTTAAAAGTAGAACGGGAGGCAAAGCCTTCAGCTTTTCAGCTCCACTTCTGTGGAACCAGCTCCCAGTTTGCATTCTAGAGACAGACAAGCTCTTTACTTTTAAGATTCGGCTTAAAGATGTCCTTTTTAATAAAGCATATATTTAGAGCTGGATCAGGTGACCCTGAATCCTCCCTTAATTATACTGCAATACGCCTAGGTTGCTGGGGGCTTACCACGATCCACTGAGTGTTTCTTCTTCACTCACCTTTTTCCCTTTCTACGTGTTTACACATCACTCGGTATCAATTGCCAAATCATTCTTAATCTTTAGTTATTATTAATCTCTGGCTCTCTACCACATCATATGTTTTATCCTGCCTCCCTCCCCTCAATCCCACCTGTCACAGATGGCCGCCCCTCCCATCGTTCGGCTGGAAGTTTCTTCCCATTAAAAGAGAGGTTTTTTTTCTTTCCACTGTCGCCAAATGCTTGCTTAATCCTCTGATTGTTTGGGTCTTATCTGTATCTTATAATATAAAGCACTTGAGGCAACTGTTGTTATAATTGTGTGATAAATAAAATTGAATTGAACTGAACTAGAAGAAATATTTAGAAAAAGTCCAAATCATGTCAGCCATGAAGCTGATTATGATTTATTTATATTCCTAATGTTAAGCCACACTGAGCTTAATGCTGACATTATTATGCTAACAGTTTGAATATTCGGAGTTTATAAATATGTCCACTAGTCACCTGACATTTTTACAGTGGAATTTATTTTAAAAAAAAAAGTCAATTTAATGTCAATTTTTACTGATCCTAAGTGACATATCTACAGCTCTCACTGAAGCCAAATTATAAAAACAGGCAAGTTCTGAAATTTGACTTTACGGCTCAATGTTGTGTGGAACAGGTTCACCATCATAGTGGTAGATACGCCTTGGTTAAATAAAACCAGTGATGGAAATATCGAAGTTTAAGTTACAGTTTATCACAGAAATACACTGTAGTGGCTAAAGTCTTATCTCTGAATTCAGGTGTTTAGTCTCACTGACACATTTGTGAAAAAAAATGGGTCATTCTAAATAGCTCACTGAATTCAAGCATGAAGCATAGGATACCATCATTAAAACCAGTCAGTTTGTGAAATTTCTGCTCTCCTAGATATTCCTCAATCAACTGCTAGCAGGATAACTGCAACATCAGAGCTCCAAACCTCCTCTGCTGTTAATACCAGCACAAAAACTGTGTGCTGGGAGCTTCATGGCATGGATATCTATGACCGAGCAGCTCCTGTAGGTGTAATGTGTAGTAGTTCAATCCTTTTGTCTAAATAGTGTAATTTTAGGCAGCAAATTTTATGGCAATCCATCCAGCAGATTTTGATACATTCCCCTTAAAGCTGCAGTGTCATGGAAACCCAACAAATTGTATGTGATGTACTTCAGTTTTATACAGACAGACACTGTAATGAAGTTCCAGATGGACATGGCTGAAGTGTAATGTGCAAGGAGGGTACAACTGGTGTGGTTGCAAAATGAAGACCTGTTGTATACAAGTCTATGTAAAAACACGGCTTAATTGCAGGTTTGAACACTTATTGAACAGAACATGATATTATTTTGTAATTATGGTCCCCATAGTCCTCATAGTGTGATAACGAGGGTGAAATTTGATGATAGCTTTGTTGATAGCTTTTTCCTTACTGTTGCTGTGAGTCATTTTGGATGTAAGCCAGCTTCATTTGCTGGTGGAAATTCTGGGATGATGTTGAAAACTCCGGAAAGTGAATCTGAGCCAGTTTGGAACAGATATCATTAAGCTTGCTTGCTGTGTTTCATGTTTCTCCTAAATGCTCACCTGTATTCTGGAGGTGGCGCTTAGTAAAAGTGTGAAGGAGATGGCAGTTGCTGCCATAGCGTGGGTGGAGGGCAGTCCGTATTCTGCATCTACACGTGTCTCCAGCTTGACAACAGGGGGAGAGTAAGGGCGAGGCAGCTTCAGGACGTCCTTCATCACCTGGCCAACGTACATCACTAACTGCCAACGATAGAAAAGCACAGCTTTAGTAGTGCATTATGGTACCGTGTTGTTAGCTTCAAATGGTATATATCTGCCATCCCTTCCACTATGGCGTATTATTACAATAAAGCAATAAGAAATGCTGCAGAAGTGTAGTAAAGTATGCTGGCCACAAAAGCAGAAATTAGATGATAAAATAATGCAAAGAGGAAGCAAGGATCCGACTTTAAAGCTAATCACACAATCTCATAAATAAGTAATCATCGTCCCCACTCAAAAAAGAAAAACTGCCCAAGAGCAGAGACTCACACTTGTATAAAGTGCAGATGCTGCAGTAGTATGGTAACAAAATCTACTACAAGGAACAGACGACTGAAGAAAGTAGAGTTTGCTGATGCAGCGTCTCCAGCTGGTATGGTGAGACAGAGGGGTTCTGACACAATGACACAGTCGGCGCAAGGTGTGCACGCAAGCTGTACCGATGTGTGTATCCTGCCAAATGTGCTGCCTATTCTTTTTCATGAGATCCCCAGTGGCCCTCGATGGGGCAGCCTGCTCCAGCTCCGGGTTTATTTAAAGCTCTGCCTTGTATATTTAATGAATGGCTGTCTTGGCAAGAAGCAGGGAGGCTAGTTCATGGAGAGAGAGATAGGATACTAATGTGTGTGTTTAAGGGAGAGAATAGAGAGGTTGTTATTACCGTCTCCACTGACACTGTAATCAGGAAACGCTTGTTACCATGGCAAATGATATAAGAGCACATCTTCTGACCCGCTGTTAGTGCAGCAACTATTTAGAGAAACGGATGCAGATAGACATTGAGAAAAATGATAGGACCAATTGTGTGAGGACACTGAACATCCGTCTCAAACAATATAAATTAATATGCTGGATGAGGCTGAAGTCAGAGCTCGGACTGATAAAACCTCTTCTTGAGGGTTGCTGTGTTCATAGGTGGGATAGAAAGAGTCTTTCCTACAGAGACAGCCCATCATTGTCTGGTTCATCATTGCTACACAGACTAGAATTAACACATGCATACTTTAACCGAGAGTTAGATGAGACGATTGATACTGTCATTTCTGTCTTTTAGGCACAAATCTGAACCAGTAGATTTAATTGAGGTTTAAGACTGGAAGAAATAATTACTCAGACTTTAAAAACATACCTAAAAGCACAAATGAGCTTGTGAATATGTTTAAAAATCGCCAATTCATTTAATGCAATGTTATGAAACAAACATTGCTAATTTGTGTGAGGATAACTATACAT